AATAAATATAAAATACTATAAAAAATTAAAGTATTAAAAAACTAAAAATCTATTAAAAATTAAAAAAATAATAATATATAGAATAATAAATTCTAAGTTATTAAAAAACCCAACAACCAGTTGGTCTAGTGAGATGAGGCACTAGGTCTCTTAAGCAAGGTCAAGAGTTCGAATCCTGACATTTGTGAATGGACCAAATTGGGTTGGGAGGGTCGCCCTCGCCTCTACAATATCCGATCTGGATTAGTCGGTCAATAGATCGGATATCAGTGATTAATTCAAAAAAATTAAATAAAAATAAAAATATATTATAGATTTTGAGCACTTTTCTAGTTTAGAAACTAAAAAAAATCACACGAATTTTTAAAAAAATATATATTTACACGATACATGTCAAAGAAACATATTCATACGAATACAAATACAAATCATATTAGTACGAACAAGGGACTTGTCTTCTACTTATCAATGAGGGATAGAAGAAAAGGCTCTATATAAACCCTTTCATAAGTTTTGTTCCACTCAATGTGGGATTCACATCCTATTACATTATCAACATTCCGCTACTAATGCATAATTTTTTTTATTAAATCGGAACAATGTTATTAACAATGAATGTGATTAGTATATACCTATAGTTTGGGATGAAATTGAAATGTTCAAAAGTTTGAGGACTAAATTTAGAATGACAATCATAGTTTAGGGATGAAGTTGAAATGTTTAAAAGTTTAGGGACCAATTTAAAATCAAGGTCATACTTTGTGGACATGTGATGCAATTAACTCATATGTAAATGGTCCTCTTGATTTGGTAATTTGGGTATCATTAACAATAAATTGGTACAAGAAATTTGGGAATGCTACAGTACATTACTTTTTCGGAGATGTTGGAAGTCCTGCGGCAACGATGCTCTACGAACTACTAGAGCTACAGACATGCCAATGGAAAACATCCGAAGGCTGAGCTTACAAAGCTCAATAGTATAATCACTAATCTAGAGCAGCATAAGAATTTCATAAACTAAAGCATGCTAGAGACATAGTACTAAGCAATAGGTACAAGCAATATTCCAATCAGTGCTACCTACGTAAGGTCCTTCAGTTCTATCTATCGAATCTACATCTCATGATTCCCTTAGTCTTCGCTAAGGGCTTTGCCATGAGTATACAAGTATTAAGTCTCTAACCTCATTATCATCACCATGCCAAACACAATGACATTACCCAGTATTACAGAGATTTCGATACTCACTCAACAATAGGTAAGAATCGTGGTGTAGCTCGGGGTCATATAGCATCACGGAACTCACACCTTTGTTTGCTTAATAGAGGTACCTTGGGTAGACCTGGCTCACATAGCATCAGCATCTCCCAAGTATCTCAGGCGAGGTCTGAGGCACATATCATTGACACCTCCCAATACCTTAGGCTAGGTTTGGGTCACACAGCATCGACACCTTGCATGGCTAGTCTACTCCTCTTGAATACTTGGAACGTGTTTGGGTCACATAGCATCAGTACCACATTCAACTAGCGACTAAAGTGCATCTTGCACTGACTTGGATATACCCGGATATTCTATGCACACTAGACGATTGTCCTACTGCTAAAGTAACTCGGGTGTCCTCATCATTTCCTAAGCTACACACAATGACATGAGTCTTATAGAATCTTACCTCATAAGACTCTTATGGTTATCACACAATTATTATTATATTGTTACTATTATAAGTCTTTCTCTAAAGCTAACGTCTTAACACACATTAGTCGATGCCCCTATAAGGCAATCAAAGTAACTAAGTTACTCGTTATCGATCTTGCTAAATCCAAGTGAGGCCATTTCCTCTCACCTGAATTATCTCACTTGTCCTCTCACCTAGGACGTAAAGGAAATGTTAATTGGCACTTAAAGGGTATTTTAGTCATCTTTGACTTTAGAGAGATCTCTAAGCATTTCATGATTTTCTTCCTCTTATGCTTGTTGTTCACTGACTGAATAACTAGTTAGCCCCAATACCTGACACGGGTTCATTACTGGGTAACAACACTTCTAACGCTCTTATCGTACTTCTCCCAAAACCCTTGAAGTAGTGGAACGACTTATCCATTCCCAGTTCACTGACGTTCTCGAAGCCCCATACTTTTTGTCAGTATTGAATCTGACATATTCATCGTACCACTTATCGGATATCTCTTGTAACGATCTTCGATCCCAACTATACGTATACGTCCTTGATTGAAGATATTTTGGTATATTATGCTTAATATGGTTACACCCGATGTAACCTACTCCTACGAGTGTTTTTAGGTATGTTTGGTCATTTATGTCCCTCACAGACTAAGTCTTACTATTAAGGATAGTCCTTAGATCTTAAACGGGTCAAAAGAACATTCAACAACGCTTAGAACCTTTAATGAATGCAAATCCATCTTTTTCCATCGAGTAAAACAAAAGAATGGATTGATTCTTTTGAAAAGAGATCGATATTTTCTCCCAAGGGACCAGTCCTTTTAAAAAGTGATCGATCCTTTACTGGACAGAAACTTTGGCATCGATCCATTTGGTCGAGGGATCGATTCTTTTTCTGAGAATGACTTGCTTAAACTCGGAATCACTCAAAAATCACCCTAAACAACATGGGTTGGTTTCTAAACTTATTCAAAAGCTTTAGTAAGTTATTGAGGTCTTAAGGCATCATTTAAACATATTATTAACACCTAAAACGTGATTTGGTTGAGAAATCAAAGATGAACCCTAAAATGCTCAAATCATCAAATTTTAGCAAAAACCATAGATCTATAAAACCTTAATACTCCAAAGGATTAGAAATACACTACCTTGATCTTATAAACATGAAATGAAGCTCCTTTAGCTACCAAGCACTCTTCTTTTTTACTTGGTTGATTTTCCACCATTTTTCCCTCAAACCAACAAAGATACAAGGATATTCTTACATCATGATGTTATAAGAAGTAAGAGGGACGAATTTGAGACTTAATAAAATTAAGAAAATGAAATCTTACCACCACTTGAGGTTATGGAAGCTTGGAGAGGGAAGGATAAGAGAAAAGAAGATAATGAAGAGTTGTGTGGGAGGAACCCACGTCCAAAACATAATAAAACCCTAAAATCAACTTCCATTTCACTCAAGGGTCTAATTGCACTTTTGGTCCTTTGCATTTTATCCCATATTCAAAAATCCCCTTTTTATGACTAATTAGGCCCAAATCCAATCCTAATTAAGCCCAACGACTTAAATTGAAATTACCACGGGGTTCAATTACCTCTTGGTAAAACCGAGACTACTAGCCCATAATTTAGGGTGCTACATTGATCTTTAATCATTTTTAATGGCTATGAAAGTATTGTTTTGGGTAAAGAGGGTTTAGTAAATAGTAATGCAACTATTAAAGGGTTGTTTTTAGGGAGTTAAATATTTATATTTAGGAAATGGTTAGAGTATATAGTCGATAATTGATAATTTTTTCGCTCTATCATTCATATAAAAGAGATAATCCCTTTAATTAGATATAAAATTGATGGTTTTAATATTTTTTTTGAAAAAAATTTCTATCAAAGAGAGCATCATAAGCGAGTTCTACTTCTTTACTTCGGATGTACGAGGTTTGGAAGACTATGTTAACCTATTGATTGAGATATGATAAAATCTGATCCTTGAATCATTTGATTGTATTTTGTGGATTGATTTTTTTTTACATTATGTTGTTGAGCCAATACTTGAAATATTATATCGTCAAACTAGGTGATTATTTTTGTAACTTTTAATATTCTGAGAACTCAACAAAGCAGCGTCCCATGATCGGAAGACCATTTTGTAACTTTTAATAGTTGAAAGACTAAAAAAATAACACCTTATAATCATGGGACTATTTGTATATTTTACCTTGATATCTATGATAAAGTCATTTCTTTAACAATTTGGATCTACTAATAGTATTATAAAAATATAAATGTATAAACTCATGCTAAAATAGAGTAATGAGATTAAACATGAAATTTGGGTAAACGCCGGGGAGTGAAACCAAATTATACCCACATACATAAATTAGAGGAAGATGAAGAGAGGCGACCCACCAATCTCATCTAAGAAGTATAAACGATAAAACTACCCACTCCAATCATTTCGTTTTCTTCCTCCATTTCCACCCTGGCTTCCCCCTCCGTATCCTCCACCGTCTACCTCCTCAACCGGTCACCCCCGTGCTCCCCACGGTCACCCCACCTTTTTAAGTGGTGCCACAAATACAAAGTTGGAGAGAACCAAAATACCTAATAATATTATTATGAGGGTAAATTATATATTTAGTCACCTAACTACTACTTATTTTAGTTTTTGTTTTGGTCATTTGTATCCATCAAGTTGACTCGGTGGTTAAAAGAAGTGTTATTCTTCTTTGAAGTCTTGGGATCGAACAATTACGTCTACAGGGTGTATGTTACCAATGGTTAAGAAAGATTTTGAACAGATACTACATTGTATACACTTCAGATTACTCAAAACAAGTTTCGTTTTGGTCACTCAATTGTTTTTTTATTAAGCTAAGGTGATTAAAATGTAATATCTGCTCTAGGTACTCTTAACCATTTGACGATGAACGCTCAGTTACCCTTGCAGTTGTTGGTGCTCTAACTCATAATCTTTAAGAACAACGACAATTTCTTTAACCATTGAGGTAATTTGTCGTCCGAAACTATTGATATGACATTATCTTATGGTGATACGTCATTATGATATTATCACCATTAACTTTTTAACCACGATTGACCAAAACATAACGTTAGTGATGGTTTTCAAAAAAAAGTTTAGTGACCAAAATGAAATTAAAGTGATACTTGGATGATTAAATAAGGAATTTACCCTCGTTATTATTAAGTATATAAATATTTTATTTTTTAATTTTGATATTCCCTTCTCTCTTTTATTTCTCTCCCGGTAGAAATCTGGCTTTTTTCCCCTTGCCTTCAAAACATCATTTCTTACTTTGCTTTGGTTGTTCTTCAGGGTTTCTTTTTCTTTTTAGATTTTCTGGGGTGAGAAAAATCTTATCTTGCATCGATGAGGATCCGGAAAAGACAGGTTCCGCTGCCTTTCTCGTCCATTTCACCTGTACCTCTTTCATCAGATCCCATCTTCAACCGCCCTCCGGTGGCGGTGGTGCAACTCCCTCTACGGCAGCAACAACCACCTCCTTCGCCCTGCTTTCATCCTCACGACCCTTCTGAATCTGATCATCCAAATCACCCGATCCGACAACCACTACCAACCCAAGCCTTTGCTTCATCTTCTTTCCATGGACAACAACTCATGAAGACCAAACAAGATTACTTGGTTAGTTCAATGATTCAATCCCAATAAAAGATATATATATATATATATATATATATATATATATATATATATATTTTTCCAGGAGTGCACTTGTGTTAGAATGTGATAGAGAAAAGTACATCTTGCTTGAAATTCTTTCTTTTTAACTTTGATTGATTTGCCTCCATGGAAGTTGCATCAGATAAAATTTATATACTAGTTTTTGCAGGTCTTAAAGCCTGGAGGAGGAGGGGGTAGAGAAGAGAAAAATAGTGATACCGGGTAAGAAATGAAGGGTCTTGATCCAAGCTTTGGCCAGCCACCATACCTTCCTATCTAATCTAATCTTTTCCCTTTTTTCTCTCTTTCTTTTTCATCTTCAATTTTGGTTAACTAATATATATATATATATATATATATATATATATATATCCATGCGGTGCACGTTAGCATGAAGATGCTGGTCCCCGTCTCAGCTCTCAACCAATAATATATACATCTTGTTCTATATTTTGCACTTATTTCATTCATTTAAAAAAAAAACTCATATTTGTGGCTGTGGATCTTCTGGGTTTGATTTATTTTCTAGGAAAGGAGAAGGACTAGGAAGAGGGGTTCTTTCACACTCGGGTTCTTCCCATCCTCAAGGTAAGAATCTTTCCTTCGTGTAGAACTACCGTCAAAGAGGTGGTGTAGTATTTGAGGGTGGTTGCTCTTTGTTGTTGTTTTGATTGCACTTAAAATAAAGCTGTTGGGGACATTGATGGCGACGACGATGGTGATATGTTAATAGCAAAAGATGCATACAATAAGAGTGATGCCGGGAAGATGAAGACTAAGGTAAACAAGAAACTTGTGCAGCAGCCAAGCAACGATGAAGAAGCGAGCAAAGACGATGGAAGCGGCGGCTCTGCGAAAAAGAGAGGTCGAGGCGGCGGCGCACTCGTGGAAGGATCGAGGTGCAGTCGAGTTAACGGAAGGGGATGGAGATGTTGCCAACAAACACTCGTTGGTTACTCTCTATGCGAGCATCATTTGGGTAAAGGTAGGCTTAGGAGCATCACTAGCGTTCGAGACAGAGCCAAGGAGGAGCGACTGGCTAAATATGCTGATCATCGGGCTCCGGTACCGTCAAATTCGTCCCAACAGTTAGTAAAGCAAACAAAGAAGAGAGCGGTGAAGCTTGGGATGGTGAAAGCCCGATCGATGAGCAGTCTGCTGGGCCAAATCGACAATGCCATCGCAGTAGCTGATGATAATAACCAGTAGTGTAGTAAGTGCCACTTCAAAAAAAAAAAGTAGTGTAGTAAGTGTGTAATATTTCAATTTTTACTATAATATAGACAGGTGCAACTGTTCCCACATCGTTTTTGTTTATATTCTTATGATTGATTGATGGAATCGAAATAAAATTTAGACATTTATTTAAGAAGATCGATATAGTTTAAATATTATTTTTTAATTAAACCCTAATTTTACTAGGTTTTTTTCCTGCATAATTAATTGTGTTTTAATAAGAGTTACAAATATACAGTATAATTATCATCAAGTAATTGCATAGAATAAATTAAATTCAAGGCTTAATTATAATATAAGTGTCTAAATTATATTGTTTTTCTTAAATAGATGTCCAAACTTTTTCTGAATGATCTAGGTGTCTAATGTTACAAATATTATCATTTTAGGTGTTCGACCAGTAACGGTTGTTATATTATGTTGTTAAAAGAAACGTGTATCTTTATAAAATTTTAATTTTTTATTTAAACTAAAAATATTATTAATCTATAAAAAAAATTCTAAAATTACAAAAAAAATCTAAATCCCTAAAATCATCTCCAAATCTCTAACCCTAACCCTAATTTCTCTCTTTCCGACCACGACCATCGATGTCGACGTTGCCTTGCTGTTTCCATTATCAGTCTTCCTTGCCCATGTTGTCATGGTTGTTGTCGAAGTCATCGGGTGGATTCAATTTTACGATTTTGGTATTATTTTTGTCGGGTTTAAATCGTCGATTAGGGGTTCTTTGGGTGGAAGTGTCATCAGTGGTGGTTCGGTCAGGTGGAAGTTCGTCGACGGCAACAGCGGCAAACGGGAGTGGCCGGCTTGGGTATAGGGATTGGAATAAAGGTTTTTAAAGTTTGAGTTTTTTAAGATTTTCAAAAGTTTTGGGGTTTTTTAAATAAAATTATATTTTTAAGTGTTTTTAATAATAAATTTTCAAAAATTACCAGCACATAACACGTGTCACTTAACGGGTGGAATATAATGGCTGATACAGCTCGGGCACCTAAAATAATAACATTTGTAACATTAGGCACCTAGATGATTCAAAAAAAAAATTACACACCTATTTGAGAAAAAGGGTATAGTTTGGACACTTGTTTTTATAATTAATCCTAAATTCAAATAATAAAATGTGATTAAGATATTATATGTATTGAAGGTGGCCCTTTATGCACATGCTTTGGTTTTGTTTTTTCAGATAGTATGAGTCATGAGTTACAGCGTGGATAGGCAGATGAGATCCACATGAATATTGCACATGACATATAATGCCTTAATGAAATTACAACACTTCTCATGCAAAACAATCATTTTTATGGATGTTCTGATTTATATGAAAATTGATTTTTTTTTAAAATTTGTTTACGTAACATTTGTTTTAATTTATTTAACATTTTATCTAAGATTGAACCACGTTAAATTTCATCTTTTTTGTTACTTTTACGCCAATAAATTTATAACAAGTGATATCATGATCTATGGTTTGCTTTGTAGAGTTCTAAAGAAATTTATTATTATGGATTTTATTAACGATATTGGAGACACGCAAAAATTTTGCTATAATGAATTTTTAACTGCATAAGGAGTAATTATCAATCGATTAAAGTGGTGATTCAATGAAAATTACGTAATAATTGGAGTTCTTGAATACTTAACAACGATGCTTCCTCGAATATTTGGCTTACATAAGAATTGAAGTTGTTGGAGACTTAAAGATCAATGTCCAGATGGAATTTATGTCGAGAGCGATATTATTACATATTGACCCAAACTCTAACTTATAATTAAGTTAAATTTTGTTATCATTCATGTGGTTAAAGAATAATTAGTGATTAAGTTTATTTAGGTAATGATTCAAATGGAGTACGAATTCTTGACGACTAAGTTTGTTTTATCTATAAATATAGGGCATGTCTTTGACCTTTAGAATTATATAAGATAATTATATTAAAATATATGTAATCTTTTTATGATCATTAGAACTTTTGGAGGGGTAACTTGATACAAATAACATACTTTAGGGACAATTGTATATTTAAGCCTAAAAATCCATCTAATTTCATCCCCAAATTCATCCAAATATGTAATTAGTTTCAACCATAGTTTAACCTAATTTTTTTTCAAACATACAATAATATAACTTGGCCTAACGATTTTATTAACAATGGATGTGATTAGTATATACGTATGGTTTGGGAAGAAATTGAAATGTTTGAAAGTTTGCGGACTAATTTAGAATGATAGTCATAGTTTAGTTTAGTGATAAAATTAAAATGTTTGAAAGTTTAAGGACTAGTTTAGAATGATAGTCATGGTTTAGGGATAAATTGGAACATTTAAAAGTCTAGGGACCAATTTAAAATGAGCGTCATACTTTGAGGACACGTCATGCAATAAATTTATTTAAATAATGATTAAAATAATAAAACGTATAAAAATAAGTGTTAAATGTAGGTAGGGAACCAACGAGGTTGATTTAAGTGGTAAATAACTTGATTTCGCTTAAGCAATGTCTCGAGTTCTAGTCTGTGTATTCAAAAAATCTTCGCTAGAAGACTCACCCACCAAAATTAGGTATGCTACATAGTCGGAGCGAAACCTTGAAATTTAGAGGTGAAAAAAATATAGGTAGAGAAATTCCTTGTGAAAATTTTAGGTGATGGGGGAAATCCAAAATTTTAGCGAAAGTCGGTCAAATAAGGATAAATTGTCATCCCTAGAGTATAAATCCAATATATATATATTTTTCATTCGACTCTAATTTGATCTAAATTTTAGAGTATAAGTTCTACTTGATTTGACTTGACCCGATATAAATAAATATTTAATTAAAAAAGTAATATATTTTTTTAAAGAAAATTACATTATTATTATCGGATCGAGTCTAGTATGGTCAAAGTTTTTCTACACTCCGTCCGAACTTGACCTGACCCGACCTCGTCCCTTAAAAAATCTGACCCAACCCGAACCCGAACTCTATTTTTTTAAAAAAAATCTAATCAAATCAAATATGTTCTAATCGAAATCGTCAGATTCAGTTTAAATCGTCATCCTGGCAACAGTCGGTCAAATGATGGGCAGACATGACCATTCCCCCTTGAAAATTTTTAAAGATTTCTCTTTTACCACTTTTTACAAAGTTACTCCTCCAATCCCATCCCTCAATTTCTGCTACAATCCACATTTCGTGACAAATGGGAGTTCAATTGAACTACCCAACAATCCTAAAATCCAGCGCCATAATTCTCAATCAGCCGTTGAAATGGACGGATCTTAGATTATGCTTTGTTGTTGCTATCTCAGATTTGATCTTCTCTCTGGGTTTGATTCCCTTCCGGGTATGGTTGCGTTCATATCTTTTGATAACCTAGTTCAGATCTTCGTATTTATAGACGTTGCTTTGCTTGATTGATGATCCCTGGATTTATACAACGACCTATATTTCGATAGCGGATTGTTATTTAAATTCCCGATTGAGATTCTTGATATGATCATCATGGATGTGCATTTCTGCTTGATTGGAGTTTCTGGATTCTTGGTTTTCTTTATTCTGAGTGTTGATGCTGTGTATATGTGGGTTTATCAAGCATTCTTATCCTTTTCTTGCACCATTTTGATTGTGGCCGAATCATTTACCAGATCATTGATTTTGGAATTTGAGAAATTTTGTTTTTGGTAAGATAATCATGCAAGGGAAGTCGATGTAAATCTCTTATATGTTGCCATTTGCCTTTTTTGTTCATTGTAGAAAAGACAATCTAATTTAATGTCAAGAATTAGAGGATTTCGATTGAATGCAATCTAAAATTAATTTTTCATAATATTTTTTTATTGGTAATTGAAAATGTTATATTCTTCCTAATATTTTCGGTTCAACAAAAAATGATAGAAAAAAGTTTTTGTTAGAATTTAAAAAAAAAATAACATTTTAGATTACAATAAGCCGAAAATGTTATAAATTTTATATTATTCAGTTAGGTTTGCCATGTATCGATTTTGGATTAAATTGAATGATCCATTGTTATGAAATGTCACATTAATTAGTTGCAGAAGCAAAACTGTCAATCATCTTATGGTGCTGTGGCTTTTACAGAAATTGAATAAGAACAAAGTTATGTAAAGCTACATGAAACCAAAAATTTCACATTGATGACTGCCATGAATAATTTTACATTCCAGGCGTAGGTTCTCGAATTCGAAGCGTCTTTCGTTTGGGCAGTGATCCTCTTACAAGACTTTAGCAACTTTCTATCCAGCAAGGACCAGATGCAAAAAACCACACAAAAAGAAGTGCAAAAAAGATAGACTAGTTATTGCGATTCGGTTCTTACCAACTTCAACAGTGTTCGCTGCAGACTGCATACTCATAGCTGGTCCATCGGTTAACGACGAGAGTATGTTTGTTCTCCATCTGAAAATCAATGACAAACAAAACAATGAGACATGGTTTACTTTGCATGCACAAGAAGAGCAATGGCATAACTAGAAAGCAAAAGATTTCGTGCATTCCGACTAGGTCATCATACAGTCTACGAATTCTGGATCAAAACCAAGCTGTGCATGTCCAGGCTTACATTCTTCATTCAATTACATGCGGAAGAAATGCAATAGATCACTAGATGATTAACAGGAAAAAAATGTGTAATAAGATGAGTCGTAGTACAGAGTATCTGCAGCATACAGAAGAAATGCAATAGATCATTATGTCTACATATATTGGTTACCACTTTCACCATCAGATGCATCGGCAAGCCTCGCAATAGCATCAATGAGTGCTTGTTCATGTTCCTGCGTTACATAAGATGGTTAAGTTTTGTAGTTCCAAGCAATGGAAGGAAAAATATTTCAAGTTACTTACTTTCAGCATCTTCTTTGCCTTCTCAAGCTCATGAGGATCGGGATGAGTAGCGTGGAAGACCTTCTCCACCTGTTAAGGAGTCGAATCAAATTAGAAAACAACATATATGTTACAGTATCAGTTGAGCTGGTTCTTCATAATTACCTCCTTTACTAAAGCTTCCGTGTTTAACAACTCGACATCATCATAAAGTTTCTTTGTAATACCATTCTGTGACGGAAAATATTCTTTTCTGTATAGGCCCTTCACTGAACCTATGTCTCTTCCAGATACTGGAGCAGAAGCACCGTGACTGAAGGATTTCTTAGCTCCATGGAAACCATGGCGCCCTCGATAAAATATGCCTACGTCCTCGCCGTCCCATCTGATGTCATTCGGAGATATCTGTAAAATCATTAGGAGTTCAATCTTGTTCCCAATAAAATGTATGTGGAAAACTATCCGTGCTATGATGAAGCAGTAGAACCATTACCAGCTTTAAATAATCAAAATCACCTCTTCTTAAATGATGCCAAATTAAAACAAATACCAATGCACTTCAAATCTTTAAATAATAAACAATAAGAAGATCACTATCATAAATCTGCCTTTTTGGTCTTCCTGGTATACCTTAGATTAAAAAATATGGTAAATCAAGAGAGTGAAAGAATGTGATATGAAAAGCACCAAGGAAACATAGCTGCATAAAGGAGAATCAGGCATTGATGCCTGCAGGAATCGCAACAGAAATATAAAAATCGTACACGAAATCACTAAACAAATGCACGGTCAAGATGGCTAGAAAAATAACACCGGGACCATTTCAATCTTTGGGTTCTCTTTGATTGACCGTGTCAATCTTATATTTGCTTGCTTTCAGAAATACCTTTTTATTACAAGGTCAATAGAGTATAACTTCATAAGGATTCAAATCTCTTCCCCCAGACCAACAAACTTCAGCTCAAAGAATACTTGGTCTTTATTTAAGTTTAGCAACAGTATTGGTAATACTTATCGTACTACACAAAATAGAATCAAGAGCAATACATATAGTATCTATATAAACTAGCAAAGTCATATTCGTCTACGCACTCTAAATTTTCTGCTGCAAAAAGTAATGACTAGCACACATAAGTGACAAACTTCATAATAAAAAATCATCTTCTTTACCTCTTTGAGATCAACCCATTCCCAAGTCTCATTTTCCGTATTTATATCATAAACCAGAGCATGTCGACCCTGTAAAATAATGATAACATATACCAACGATGCTTTAGCAACAACACAATTAATAGAAACAGTTCTATAAGGCCTTTTACAACTGCTACAATATAATAAACTGTATTGCATAAAGAACAACCTTTTTGAATTTTCCTAAGATACTGTGAATTGAAGGAAAAAAATAATGTTGATACTTCATCCTAGCTCAAAATATTAACAGATTGCAGATAGGTTAGCAAAACAGAGACAGATAATATAGTTGCAACATTGAGAAATAAAAAGGCACCGTATAAATCTTTTGATTTGCATGTCAACAAAAGGTGCATATAGATTAGCTAAACTAAGACAAACAAAATAGTTGCAACATTGGGAGATGATAAGTCAACAAAATATTTTGATTTACAAATCATGTAATGGCATAAACAGGTAGACAAGGTGCAGCTCTGACTAAATCTTAGGTTTCATGCATATGCTTTTATAGTTCCGTGTTTTTTAAATTTTCATCGTCAACTAAAAGCTCCAGCTTAATATAAGTCTCAGCGAGAAACAGAAGATGTTTTCATATATATTGAACATACCTCAGAGAGATTGTAATCAGTGATTACAGCCTCATAGAAATGGTTGTCTTCAGGCCATCTTGTCCAAACTTTCCTTCCAATTAAGGGATCAAAAGTTGCTCCTTCACCATGCTCATTGGCTGAAAGGCCAGCAACAGCACCACGGTGATTGAATTGCCTATTTCCAGCAGAAACTGCAGTGGGGTAATGCATAGGCCTTGCCATGGATAAGCCAGGCAATGACTGACCTTGCAGGGGAAAACTTTGAGTGAATCAAATTCATATTTGCATTTCTAACATGAAAAGAAGATCACTGCTTCATGCATTTGGTCCCTGTTCCTAAAGCAGCTTCGCTAGCTAGCATACAGAGAAGAAAGCTTAATACAAAGAACTACTAGGAATGACCAATGAGAGTTCTAAACCAGAAATAGTAAGAGATATACCGACTGAGATGTCTTCTGTTTCTTGCGAGATGCCGAAACAGTTGAACTAGGTAAAACATTGTGGAAAGAATGAGATGCACTAAGTCTTGCAGGTTGACTCCCACCAGCTTGTCTCCAGTCACTGCTAGCAACGCCCGTTCATAACTCGTTAAACAGAATAAGATATGATACAGCCATTGAATCTGTACCCACTAAATTCAGGCTAATTTGTGAAGCATTCGAACCTTATCCTTCTGATGATATCATCAGAGTTAACCTTGGTCAGAAGCTCTCTATGCTCATCATCCGACAACCTCAGTTCTTTCCTAAGTTCAGTTATCAGGCCTTCCTTTTCCTAAAGATACCAGCATATGCCACAGGACGCACATCAATCACATGAATAGATAAGAAATCCTACGAAAACCAGTAAGTGCAGAAAAAGAGAAGTAAATACCCAAGAAATGGCATCGGATTGAGCTTTAAAAGCACGCAGAACAGCACAATATGCCTCTTGCTCAAGTAGATGTATTTGGGTCTCCTTGTCAGAATGCATCCTAGAATATGAAGCAGAACCTACGATAGATCTTCCATTTCCAGCAATATTACCCCTTATTGAAACTCCAGTTTGATGGGATGGAGGTAGATCATCATCGGTGCCTGTAGTCATTTCAGATAAAGACATGCATGATTATGCTGCATACACATCCAGGGTCAATAACTTGTCTTTAAATGATCTAGTTTGTAAAGTTTAAAAGAACGATCATAAGGAAGTACGATCTAACAAATACAGGTAAAAAAGTCAGAAATTATCGGATCCAGAATGATTCCTCTTGCATACTATCGTAAAAGAAAATCAATATATCCATAGAAACTAGGGTTGAGTAAAACTCGACTCAGCTCTATCGAATGCTCACCCCTAATAGAAACCCCCAACATTTACTAGGTTGGCATGTCAAGTTAAGGGGACTATACAAAATATGGTCAAATTAGAAGGCAATGTGAATCTAATTGTGGTGACTATAGCTGGTCTTGAAGGGAACCAGATCCAAAGCTAACCATGCAAAACCTAGTGGGTAATTCAAACAATCAACATGGAAAATCTATCAGTACGGCTACCATGAACCAAGGATGAACCAAGGGGTGCTGGTGGTTATTTGAAATTCCCTTGTTATTTAGTTAGTTTCTTTGTATTTGCTACTGATAATCTAATTTCACACCCCCTAAATTTCTAATATAAGTTGCCGCTTGCATTATTCTAACAACAACATAGGGTAACTAAAAACTCTAGCATATTGTGTACGAATAATTGAGTGATGAAAAGGAAAAAAACAATCAAAAGTTTTCATATCATCAATTTCTATATCTATGAATCCCAATTAGAATTCAAATAAAACCTAAAAGCTGGAAACAAACAATGCCCATAAAGTAAAAGCACGCGACGGCATTTCCCTGATAGAATTGAACAAGAGGTCAATGGCCCCAATTAAACCCTCATTTCTCATAATTACATCCACCCATACCCCAAAACCCAAATGCAACCACTACCCAATTTTCGAATTCGAAATATGAGAGAGAGAGAGAGAGAGAGAGAGAAGGAGAAGAAACCTAGAAACGCCAACATTGTTCAATACAACAATATGGCATTAATACATCCAACATACCACTACTATCGCAAACTTCATAGTCCATACCGAGAAAATATATAGAAAAAGAAACGAAGCAGCAAAAGATGTCTCGTTCGTTGAAGGAAAGAACCACCCCGAAAAACAAACCCTAAATCAGAGAAGAAGCTGCTGAAGGATGCAATCCAATGCAAATGGAAGTTGAAGTAGAGAGAATCAGAGAAAGTAGGAAGGCTCTTTTGTTTATGATTTCGGAAAGAGATTTGATTGGGACTTTATAGAGAGAGAGGAGGGAGGGATTTTTGGACTTGAAAATTAACACTTCTCACGGCCTTTCGAAGGAAAACAAAAGGTAAATTCTGCTTTAGTACTTAAATTAACAATTTTTATTTATTTTAGTATTTAAATTTTTAATATTTTTAAAAATTATGCTTAAGTTTAGTTTTTATTTCATTTTAGTATCTTATCGTTAAAAAATTTAGTTTAGTTTTATTTTAGTACCCGTTAAAAAATTTAACGTTATTTTTTAAAAAACTGAAAAGTTTAGGTACTAAAATGGACCCAAACTGATAATTTAAATACTAAATATGTTAAATTTTTAATGGCAGTTACTAAATTGAAATAAAAACTAAACGTTACATACAGTTTTTAAAAAAAATTAGATACTAAAATAAATCAAAATTGATAGTTTAAATATTAAATGCATAGTTTACCCAAGAATATTTTTGCTTTGCTGGTTATGGTCGTATTTTATGTTCGATTCCCCCCCCCCAACCCATAATTCCGGTCCAGTTCGGACATGTCTCAGGTCCAAAATCTTCGTATTAGTGATTCAGTTTTGTCTTTGAGGGGTTTTATTACTGGTTTAGACCTTTTGGGCTTAATGTCTTCATCTATTTTGGACCCTAACAATGTTTTTATAAAAGTTCTAATACTTGAATCTAATATATTTTGGGATGTAGATACCAAGTGACCTTAGCGGTAAAAGAATTATTATTATTCCTCGAGATCTAAGGTTCGAGCACTAAGAATGTTAGGGGTGTGAGTGATCAATGTCAAATGGTTGAGAGTTATCTTTGAATAAATATTACTGTCGTTAAAAAATTAACAGAATTATTGATGTGATATTTTTTTGGGTCGAGGCGAAATTTTTAAGGGGTGAGGCTGGGTTGGGTCGGTTCGGTGGAGGGTCAAAAACTTTGACCCAACCCAACCCAAGGATAATAATGTAATTTTCTTAAAAAATTATTATTATTATTTTAATTAAATCCTTATTTTATACATGTCAGATCGGGTTGGGTCGGATGTATACCCTAAACAATCGAGTCTAGTGGAGGATATATATTTTCAAGTCGATTTGGATGAAGGATATAAATATTTCGAGTCAAATCGAATTCGAGTAAAGGATATATATTTTTAGGTCGGGATGGGTTGACGAAAACCCTACCCGTTTCCATCTCTAATCATTACTGCACGTTGGTTTGTCATCTTCTACCATGTTTATCTTCACAACCCAAAAAGTACAATATTTATTATTGGGTAAACTACTCATTTGGTACTAAACTATTTATTTTTGGCCAGTTTTAGTACCTAAATTTTTAATTTTTTTAAAAAATCATACCTAATGTTTGATTTAAGTACCTTCGTTAAAAAATTAACGTAAAGTTTTGAAGAAAAAATAAAATTTAAACGGACCAAAATTGATAGTTTGTACTAAACGAGTTAAATTTTTAAACACATAGTACTAAAATGAAACAAAAACTAAACAATATGTATGTTTTTGAAAAAATTGAAAGTTTATGTACTAAAACAGATCAAAACTGATAATTTAAATACTAAACACATAGTTTACCCTTTATTGTTCATGTGGTATCGATACAGCAAGAACAATATCGACACTGCTTACCCAGAAAAACTGTTTTGTGTTCAAATTCAAGTTTTATGGACTTTGAATTATTTTTGAAAACTTTGAATAAATTCAATTAAGTCCATAAATATTTTTCTCTTAGAATTGTTATATCAAAATAGGTTCAATGAAATTATAATTAATAAAGGAGTAGTCTCTTATTTTTCAAAAAGTAGAGACTATATATATATTTAGAATAAGAAGAAACATAACCAAAAATGGGCCATCATAGGCTTTCTTTTCTCTTCTGAAAAAAGCTTTGAATTTTTTAATTAATATTTTATATAAAGTTTAACGGTAAAATTAAAAATTGACTGCTTTTAACTAACACGTCACGTCATCAATTAACTGATAATAACGACGCGACGACCAAAATATAGTAATTGATAACATAATTGACAAAAACTTAATAAAATAATAACGTAAGTGAACAGATATTAAGTTTTTTTAAATGTAGCATGCAAAATGTACACATATAAAAGAAAGATAAATGGTCAATTTAATAGTTTACCCTTTTATTTAATATTAAATTTTTTTTTGTGGGATTTGAACATATTTTTAAATTTTTTATGTTACAATTTTCGGAAATCAGATTTTCTCGAACTCATGGTAATGAACTCAGTTCGATATTGTATAGCCTTCCTAGTACAATGCAGATACTCCAACAACGCAGCTTGAGCCTCTTTCAAGGTGGTATGGGATATCGCCCGTGAAATAGCGGTTTCGCTGTCATCTGAGTTATCTGCTACACCCACAATAACGCCAGTCACGGCCGCAATAGCACCCGCGACAGCCACAATCACGATAAAATCGAAATGACCAGAAACGCGATCGTGACCGCGATCTGAAACCCTAGTTCAGACAAATGCTTGTAATTCATTTTCTTCAGGTTAGAGTGATGTTGTTTTGTCTGGTAAGAACCCCACTATCAACAAGTCCCATTTTGAAAATTTATTTTCTGTTAATTGTATGGTTCTTTTACTAGCATTTAGATGGATCGAGGGAGGCGATCGTTCCCTAAAAATTTCAAATTCCTATGGATTTTAGATATTTTCTATTGAAAATTTATTTTCGTCATCCTAAATTTTATATTTGCATCCCCTAACATGTGTACTATTCCCCATTACTCTCTTCTTGTTGTTTTGATTGATCATTTGTTATTTATTTGGCCAGTTTTGAAGGATGATATTGATGATGATGACATGAAGAAGAAAGAAGGCGGTGAAGATGTAAAAGAAAACATAGATTTGGTCTAGAAAGAAATTTGTATTACAACAAAAACCTTGTCGATAGGAGCGTTCACTCCTCGATTTTAACTGAATTAACCAAATAAACTGAATTAGTTAGATTAAATGGTCGGCCATTGATATTAATTCGATAAAAAATGATTAATTTTTTCACATTCAGTTTGAAATCAGTTAATTAATTGAATTAAGCGAAAATATTAAATATTTAATGTATTATATATATATTGAATAATATGAGGTGGTTATAAGATATTATTATTTGTTCATAATATTTCTTAGCTATTAATAACAATCAGCTGTTCTAATCCAAGACCATGTAATTACTAAGGCCACTCAATGAGTAATATATTATATATATTAAATATATATATTAAGCTCAAACTCATTAAGAATTAAGACTAAAATATTTTATAGGGTAAAGAACGCAAATGGTCCCTGGATCATAGAACATTATTTTATTAAGTCTTTTGACTATTAAAAGTTATAAAACGATCATTCAACTATTTTGTTGAGCCCCTCAACTATTAAAAGTTATAAAATGGTTACTTGCCTATTGATTATATCCAGACTTGTCCTTTTACGTTAAAAAATTGAAGGTTGTTTAAGTTGGACATTAACATGATAAATAGGATATGATAGTAGTTTAAGATTTTGTGATCGAATTTTATTATATCACAGTCAACAAGTTAACGTTCAGCTTAGAATATCGTCCATTTTTAACGAAAAATGACGAGCTTTTAACGAAAAAGGACGAGCTTAGAACATAATGAATAGTCGGGTGATCATTTTGTAACTTTTAATATTAGAGGGACTCAACAAAGCAACACTCTACAGTCGAAAGATCATTTTGTAACTTTTAATAGTCGAGTTAATAAAGCAATACCCTAATAGGAGGAGTTTCACATTCACCGTCATTTTTATGGGAATAATTAGGCTATGGGTCTATAACCGATTCATTCCTTCTAGTTTGGATGAGGAGTCATATCTGGTGAGGGAATAACCATTGATTAGTGTCAATTTTCTCTATCTCCATGATAATAAGATAGCAAAAGAAGTAAGGGTGAGGTGTTTTTATTAGATTTCATCCATTATCTTGGTCTCGGTTAAGAGGTTTTATAGTGGTCTTTTACTATTAGTATTTGGTATAAGGTTATAATGATTACTCATAGGTCGATACACTAGATGGATACAACCAAATAGCGGTGGATTTGATTTTAATAAATTACGTGAGCCTGTCAAAAGTCATATCAATAGATCGTGTCTAGAGGTGCTCTTATGGGATCTTATCCACAAAGAAATTATTTATCCGAAAACTTTGAGGTGCGAGGATGAATATAACACACGGAGGATGCTTTATAGAGGTACAACAAAATTTTTCTTGTTTCATGGTTACTAAAAAAATATTATTTATAAAATTATGTACAGTTTAAATTTTTATTTAAAATTTAAAATTCAGATGCCGACGAAAGTGACGAACGAGAAGTGATGGAGGAGACTTTGATCGAATTCGAATATTGATAGTTAAGATTTTTTTAAGAATATGGAAAATTGAATAAAAAGTATAATAACTAAATTAATATTTTATCTAAAATTTACGAGTTCAATTAAAAAATAATAATGTTACTAGAATATCATATCATTAAACTAATGTAATTCAATATATCAAAATATAATGAATTGATAATATAAATGATCAAAACATTTTAAAAAACTAATCATCAAAGTAAGATATACTAAAAATTAGGAATGTTTAGTACATAAGTTTTTAAGTTTTTTAAAATCATACATAAATTTTAGCTTTTGTTTCATTTTAGTACCAGTTCAAAATCCAACGTTAAATTTTGAAAAAAACTGAACATTTAGGTAAAACATACCAAAGTCAATAGTTTAGATATTAAGTGTGTTACATTAAAATACTATTAAAACTAATCATTAAGTATGATTTTAAAAAAAATTAAAAGTTTAAGTGCTAAAACAAATTAAAACTTATAATTTAGTATTAAATGCGTAGTTTACCTTAAAATACTATTAATCGAATAGGGGACAACATGAAAAATCGAGTGGCGAGATTTAAACTTTAATCTTTAAGACTGGAAACCCA